AAAAAAAACAAATATAAAATTAAATGTTTGAGACCCAACAATAGGGAGGAATTTCTAAACAACACAAATCCATTAACCTATAAAGGAAACATTAGTAAACATGACTACCTTAAAATTGAGAATTTGAGTTCATCTAAAGTCATCCAAAGAGGATGTAAAAGCAAGCCACAGAGTACATGACTGCAACTTATAGAAGATTAATATCTAGAAGGTATAAAGAACTCCCAGAAATAATTTTTTAAAAGGTAGACAACTCAGTAAAAAAAAGATCAAACAGACATTTCACAAAAATGGATATCCAAATGGCCAGTGAACTTACAAATTTGTCATGAAGGTAATACAGATTGAAATAAAAATGAGATACCATTATAACCTTGTCAAGCTGGCCAACATGTGAAAGTCTAACAATATTGAATGCTGGAGAATATTTCAACATTGTGGAWTTTTAGATCCTGATAATAAGAATGGAAATTAGCCATATACTCTGGGAAACAATGATTCCTTCAACATGAGAACTTAGATGCTATTAGCAGTATTATATGCTATGGCAAATAATACTGCTATGAACATTCATGTACATTTATCCTGTTCACACACTCTCCATGTGAAACAGGATAAATGTACATGAATGTTCATAGCAGTATTATTTGCCATAGCCTCAAACTGGAAACAATTCAAATAACCACCAAAAGATGAAATAATTGTGGTATATTCATATTTTGGAATATTGTACTACAATGAAAATGAACAAACAGCAGTTACACACTACACACAACTACCTAGAAAATTATATATTTGTTTATTTGATCTATTGTTTGTTTTTTACTCTAGAATGTAATCTTTATGAAAACACAGACAGTTTTGTTCACTGCTGTGTGCACAGCTTCTCTAACAGCACATGTTACATAGTGGTATGTGATAGGCACTCAAATAAATTAATGAAGTATGAATGTAGATATTCTGCCTATAGAAATTTGAAATTTTGTATTATTGCTAGTCTGTTTTAAATTTAAKTGGTGTTCATATATTTATTTTATTCTAGTCAGATTTTTGTGATTTTTGAACCCATGGGTTCTTAATCACTGAGCCACTCTAGTCATATTTGTATGTATTTCTTAGAATTAAAACTTYAGATTCTTTGGGAAGACTTAATGGAAAAAAGTACTATGAATAGTCTTGAGAAAAATAAAGGTCTTGGGCTGGGGTTGTGGCTCAAAGTTAGAGTGCTCGCCTCCCATGCGTGAGGCACTGGGTTTGATYCTCAGCACCAGCTAAAAATAAAATAAAGATATTGTGTCTACCTATAACTAAAAAATAAATATAAAAAATAAAGAAAATTTTAAAAAATAAATAAAGGTCTTGAGAAAAATAATGACCATCCAAAAATATCATGCCCTTAAATTTTTAATTAAGCATCTAAGTTCTCATGTTGAAGGAATCAAAAATAGAAGTCATAGATATGTTTTTTTGTGTGTGTGTGATTTGCATAGAGTAATAGCCCAAGGATTTTCTCTCAAAGAAAAGATCTTATTTGGTTTTCCATCAAAAGACTGACAAGTGAATACATCTTTGTATTTTAAGTTAACATGAAATGTATAAGATACATATATAACATTTCCCACAATTTCCTGCTTTGGGTTTTTCTTTTTATTTTACTTTACTTTCTCTTATTTTATTTTATTGTAGTGTGTGGTAGTGAGGGTCAAACCCAAGGCCTCTTACATGCTAGGCAAGTTCTCTACCACTAAGCTACAAATCCAACCCTTTTTATTTTGAGACAAGGTCATCTAAGTTGCCCAGGTTGCCCTTGAACTTATGATCAAGTAACCTGAGCCTGGAACTTTTTTAGATCTTTTAAATTAACCCCCGTGTTTGAGAGGCACCATCCAKAGTATTACTTGCACAGATATATGTCAAGAACTATGATATTCAAAGAATAAATATTAAAAATGATCATTTAGATGTAGGAAGAAACATTTCTTATTTTTCGCTTATTTTTCTTTGCATCATTATTTAATTTGTATTTTTGTTTTATTGTGTAGTTAACATATTAATACCATGATGCATGTATATAATTTAAAAGTAAATATAAATGTATTTTTTAAGGATATGAAGATAATAGAAATAAGTTGTTTGGGCAACAGAAACTTTTTTTCTTCAATAGTCAAAGCAAAGAATAATGGAAGGAAAGTACAGATACCCAATTACATTTCTTAAARCTTAAAAGTTTGAATTTACTTTCCTTCTATACCTGTAAAGACAAAGATTAAATAAGAATCCTGATGCAAATGTTGTTCTTGATTAATATATATTAACCTTCCTCCAGGAAAACAACATTAGTTATATATGTTCATATTTCCACTACACTTTTCTAGAAACTAAATAATAAAAAAAAATGGAAGGACTTTGTTAACCCTATGAATTAGGAAATTTATATTTGCCTTGCTTTAAATGTGAGCCATTTTTAGTTAAAATAAACACTGCAGTTTTTTTATTTTTCCTATTGAAATAAACCACATTTATTTTAATCACTTAAGTACATCTTTTTAGCCCTAATAAATAAAGTTGTGATGCACACCTATAATCTCATSTACTTGGAAGACTGAGGCCGGGGAACCACAAGTTCAAGGCCAGCATGGGCAACTTAGAATAAATAAAAAGGACTGGTGGTATATCTCAGTGCTTGGGACYCTGGGTTCAATTCCTAGTACCTCAAAAAACAAACAATAAACAAAAAATAAAGTTGCATGTGATAATCTGATTTTATAATTTTTGCATAATTGAAATACAACTTTGTAGTATCTTATATAATGTATTACATCGAGCTATAAAAAAATTGGAAACTGTTTTGTGTTGTTTTCAGTGCTGATTTTCTTTTTCATAAGTATTACTTTTATATTTATTATTGTATTAGAATAAAAATCTTAAAAAAGTGATTTGGATTTCTTTTGTTATTGTTTCTAATTTACCATGATTAGTGAGATAGTCATTTGTTTTCTAGATTGATGACATTGTAAAAGCTGTTGGTAACTGCAGCTACAACCAACTAGTGGAGAAGATCATCTCTTGTAAGCAATCAGACAATAGTGAGCTGGTTAGTGAAGGTGGGTGAGTGTTGCTACTACTTGACTTTTTTATTCTTGGCAAAATAATTTGTCTTAAAATTTAATATCTTTCAAATTTCTTACATAGGACTTCTAAAAATACAAGTGATGCTACTTGTAGGAATTAAGCAATCATTCATAAAAGTGCCAGTGAAAGATTTTTCCTAGAATCCTTTTCACTTGGCTTATAAAATCAGGCCTGGATGTTAAAAAGTCTTTGGAATCACTTGCAAGCTTTGGTATGGTCAATTACTCAGAGGTGATAATTACTTTGTTTAAAGGATTATTATCTGGGAGGACTGGGTAGATTTTATAATCTATTATGAGCACTTCAGTTGACAGAAATGAGTATTATGTTGCTTAAGTATTCTTTTTTAACAGACCTCTCCCTTATAAGATAGTATATTAAATCCCTATTCTGTATCAGAATATGTCTATGTATATTAGTAGCTCACTGAAATTACCAAATTCCTCTTTACAAAAGCAGCTTAATATTTTTTTCAGCTGTGTTCCAGTCAATTATGGGAGAAGCTGATTTAAAACCAGAAAGGCTATCAGGAACCACAGCACTTGGATATACCTTTCCTACCACATACTTCATTTTTTCATAAATAAACACAGATAATGAAGCTGCTATTTTTTTCATTCTGCCTCAGACACACTTCTTTTATGTAAGGTATAATAAAAATTGATACATCTTGGGGCTAGGGGTGTAGTTTAGTGGTAGAACACTTGCCTACTAGCATGTGTAAGGCCCTGGGTTCCATCCCCAGCACCACATAAAACTAAATAAACAAAATAAAGGTGTTGTGTCCATCTTTAAAAAAAAAATTGATACATCTTTTAAAATCAAAGCAAATGACTACAAGAATATATAAAAGATGTGTACACAAATCCACATTATATTATCAGAATGCAACTAATTATATTATTCACTTATTTAGAAATTTGACACATTTATGCAGGTGTTAAGAAAATACATGATATTTAATTTCGGTTGATCCCCTGGTCTTTCATTTGCAAAAAACATATGGATCATTGACTTAGATGACAACTTTCACTAAAACTTAAGGCAAAAAACTTAAATTTTAAGAAGGAACAACAAAAACTGTTGTAAGAATGTTTGAATGAACAAAATTCAACTCACTTGAACTATATATTCATGTCCATGCTCTCATTTCCAAATATATATTCCTAAAAAGAAGCCCATAAGAAAATTTCTATGAAATCTGCTTTGTCTTTAATGTCCAATATACAATTAGAGTTATGCTATTCATTAGTAATCAAAGGAACTAAAGATTTAAAAAGTGGTAACAGACAGAATGATAGCCAAGAAGGGATGTCTGAGATTTTAGGGTAAGAAACTGCTGAGAAAACTGTGACAGTATTTTTCCCAAGCCAGACTGCAATGCTATAAGAATAGTACTAGTACACTAATTAACACAACGAATACCAAAAAATGAGTCCCTTCATTACTCCTTTTTCCTTAACTTGATGTTATACCTTTTATTTCTCTGACATTGATTCCCCAGGATAGTGAGAAACTATTGCTAAATTATGTAGTATCAGTAATTTGAGGAGAATGTCTTGGTAAAAGCAAGGAAGTAATCTCCCTCTATAGTGGCATATAATTTTCAGTTAATATATACTAAGCATATTTATTGATTAATTCTTTCATATACAAATTCTGTAATAGTGAAATTATGCATAATAGTTTTTCATATTAAAAAATAATTATATGTGGAATTCAGTATAATTAAAAAACTAAACTAGTTTTTTGTTTATAAAAAATTACAAAAACTTTTATAAGGTGGTAAGAAATCATGCATCAGAAAGAAAAGACCACAGCCAGGCATAGTGGTGCACACCTGTAATCCCAGCAACTGGGGAGACTGAGGCAGGAAACAAGTTCTAAGACAGCCTGGGCAATTTAATGAGACCTTTTCTCAAAAATAAAATTGAAAGGGCTGGGATGTAGCTCAGTGGTAGAACATTTACCTAGCATGTATGATTTTTATTTATCAATAGCATTTATCTTTCCTCCATCATTTTTCTTCATCATGTTCTCTTGGCATTAGCTTTTTGTTGATGGAATAATAAACCTAAGAAAAAACAAAATAGAGGAGGAAAGATTTCTTTTTTACTCAAAGGTTTTAATATATGGTTGGCTGGCTCCATTGTTTTCACCCAGGTGGGGGAAAGGGTGGATGACGAGAAATAGCCTTCCAGGGACCTATTTCCTCCAATAGGCCCCTACAGTTTCCCTCATCATCCAATCACTTCCCCAGATCCCCAACTTTGTATTTCATATCCAAGCCATAGCACTCTTGGATATATAGTGTTCTTTTTTTTTTTTTGAAAATTTTTTTAATATTTATTTTTTAGTATTTGGCAGACACAACATCTTTGTTTGTATGTGGTGCTGAGGATCAAACCTGGGCCGCATGCATGCCAGGAGAGCACGCTACCGCTTGAGCCACATCCCCATCCCAAAGTCTCCATCTTTTTAAAGAAAACCTGAGCATTTGTCACATGAAAAAATTGTTTTGTGGCTAGATGTGGAGGTGGCTGTAATGCCAGCAATTCGAGAGGGTGAGATAGGAGGATTTTGAGTTCAAAGCCAGCCCCAGCAACTTAGCGAGGCCCTAAGCAACTTAGCAAGGAAAAAAGAGAGAGAGAAAAAG